AGGGTAACTTATTCGAATTAGGACCGTTGCCATAAATGTGTAGGTCTATTGGAGGATTGAGAAGTTTGGCAATGAGCGGAGAACCACGCAACTTCCTCTAACAACACCAAACAAAAATCAAAAAGATCTGTAGGGTCGTGGTGGCTTAGTTGGTTAAAGCACCGGCAATGCTGAGGACGCGGGTTCGAATCCCGCCCAAGACCAAAATGTTTAATCCTCCAATTTTCCTTAACTCCCTTCATTTTCAATAAAACCAAGTTTTATAAAAAGCTAGGTTCAGGAAATAATTAGAAGCTTTTTAACTCTGCGTGTGGTAAAATAACAGTAATCTGTAAGTGCAAAAATGCATATTAGGTTTAGAAAAGTATAGTTTTCTGTAAATTAAAAAATCAGTTTATCGGCCCAGTTGCCGAAAGAGCCGTAACAAAGTAGGAAAGTGTGTGAGTGTAAAATTTAAAACTAAAAACATTAAAGCCCTAAATGAAAAGTAAAAAAATCGTTGTTCTAGGTTGAGCCGCTATTGGAATCTCGAGGTAGATTTTTAACGAGAATGCAATACTTCTCTATCCAGGAAAGTAAAAAGTGAAAATGGCGGAAGAAACTGTTCAAATAGAAAAACTGTGTGATGAAAATTCGGGCATACTTGAATTCGGCCAGAAACTAGGTAGCTGCACTAATCCTACCCTTGAATTCGGACAAAAATCTACGAGGAGCTTTTTTTATGACACTTGAATTCGGCCAAACCATAAATACCAACCTACTGCCCATAAAACTAACCTCATGGTGTTGAAAGGAAACAAACAAAAACTAGTAGTTACATTATATTCACAATTTTATTAACATAAACTACAAAATACTACATATATACATATATTAGCTTATCATACACATGAAGTCTACATCCTGTTATTTTAATGTCTAGCCAAACGTGGTTCACTGCTTTGTGAATACTTTTTTCAAAGTCAATTACTATTTCTTTCGAATTAAAGTTCAAATAAATTGTGAAATGCAAATCGCTTTTATCAAATTTAGGCACTTAGCGTTTCTGCCAATTTATCTTTCAATAAGCAGAACACCAAGGGGACATAATTATTCTGAAAATAGCCATGGATTATGAATAACCGTAGGAAGTATTTGGGACAGTATTCAAACCATCAGCATAAATGGTTTCCGAACTACATAAAGTTTTCAAATTGGTTTGGCAACCAAAAATAATGATATAGTTTTCACTGTCATTTACCAGTAAAAAATCTTTGTTCCTCGAAGTTTTCTGTGACAGTTGTATCAGAGCCGTATGTACTGAACGGCGCAAAGGCGGCATTGTTTTTCTTCTGGCATAATACATATTTTGCTAATGTATCCACATCTTGAGTTGTAAGGCTTTCCACTCCTCTAGTGTCAGTCAGAAACGTCTTTTGTAGCTTTCCTCTTGTTAGAAGTTGGAACCATTTGACGGCAAATTTTATTTTCAGCTTCTGGATCATGAGAATGCTTCGGAAATGATAGTCCTAGTTAGGGGGCCTATTGTACCCCGTGGCACTTTTGATGATGATAGCAAGAGACTATTTTTAAATTATTATTATATCAGTAGGTAATCGTGTGGCGTATGTTAACACTCCGGAAAATTGTGTAGAGGTTTTTTTTGGGGGGGGGGGGAGGGTTCCAAATGTTGTTGTTTTATGTAAAATAAATATTAACTTACACATAGATGCGCCTTTTCCGGCAAAATCAATCAAAACCAGGGTGAGTCAACAATGGCTATTTAATAATTAACCATTCTGCATTGTTTTTAAGCAGACTTGCTAGTATAACTGCATAGAGCAAGCAAATATTTAATTAAGCGGTACATTAATCAGGAACAACAAATTAATTAATTTCTATGGGTAATATATTGTGATATTGATTAATTTATCGAAGAGTCCCTCTCTAGTGGATAGAATTCTTCCATGGGCGCCGCCAGGATTAGTTTCAGAGAGGTGCATACAGGCAGTGGCGGCGCGTGGATTGTTATATTGGTTCAAATTACTGATTTAAAAAAGTTGAATGCGCGTAAATTTTTCCGGGTGCCACGCCCAAAAACGGTTATTTTGAGCTTTTAAAAAAAAAATTTCTAGTGTCTTTCTACTTTTTTTCATTTATTGAAAGTGGCATGGGCTTCTCGCAACTTATTACTTTTTTCGGGCTATCAAATCGTAGAAATTAAAGAAAGGACCCCTCACTTTTCTTATGCAAAATGGCTTTCGGCCAATTTTTTTAAAAATTTAGTATGTTGTAGTCCTTGATGTTCTGAACAAATGTCTCCGAAGGCCCGATTCGATTCTATGTCCAGTTTCCGAGATATAGGTGCTCAAAGTTGGACAAAGGGGAATTTTAATAATTTTCCTATAATCTTAACAATAGCCTATTATAAATAAAACCCCTACTTTTTTGATAAAATTATTATATGAAAATTTTGCTTACAGTATGGTATTTTAAATATGGAATTCATTTTTTATACACGGCGAACCCAAATATTTATATAGAGGTTTATTTTATTACATTTCAAAAGTATGCAAAATTATCGCCCATCATTTTAAACCGATGTTCTGTATCTTGAAAACAAACGGCCAGATTTTCACAAAACTGTGATATTTTTTATGTATCGATAGCCAAAGAAAAATGACGCAATAAAGTGTTCGGACGGTGCAACATAATAATGGGTATTATGAGGTTTAATGGTCTCCAAACTGTGAAGTATGCATAGTTCCAGACCGTACCGATTTTTAATACGGGGTATTTGAATATTACGGGGAAATCTCTGGACTACAAAAACTAAAGACCAAGATAGCCCTTTGAGCCATACATACCTTAGTTAACAACTAAAAAGTTACAGGGTGTTAAATTATCAATTTAATTTTCGAATTTGTTATTTAACATGAAAACTTTCTAAGCATTTTGGATGAATTCAGGTGAGGATAACATATCCGATATGAATTTTGTGCAAATATGTAGAGGGCGCTACGTGCAGAATTATTTTTAATGATTACCGTTACTTAAATATATTTTGTGCCATCCTGTGTATCAATAATAATTAAACTATGTATTTTATTCTACCATCCTAACTAAAATATATCTAAATAGGAGTTGAGTAGGCAAAACTGTACAGGCTATGAACTAAATTGTCAACATGATAGTAAGCCTAAAAAAAAAACTAAACCAGAAAAAACTAAAAATAAACGTAACCAACATCTAGCTAAATATGTAAACTTGCGTGCATAGAAATCGGCCCACTGCGAAGTTTTGACTTCAACTATTTTTTGTTTAGAAACCATTCATGAGATTAAAAAAAGGAATATACCATTTGAAAAACAATTCAATATCATCTAATATGAGTTGAAATTATGTATTTTAATAATAATCCTATGAATAGTTTTCAAAAAAAAAAAAAGTTGAAGTCAAAAGTTAGCAGTGGGCCGATTTCTTTGTACTTAAATGTATATAGGCACATGAAACCGTAGGAATATAATTTTGCTAGTTATTTCTATTGGCAACATCTAGAACAATCTCTAATAGAGCTGTCGACGCATATCGAATCTCTTAGTGATGTCTTGCATATCCCATGTACCAAATGAAACTGGCTACATGCGCACAGCTTCCCAACGTTCGTGCACCACTTTTACATGTGCAGTAGTATCCACCCTTTGGATTTTCCAAATTATTTTCGAAAGATATCCAAAGTTGGTAACGAGTCGCATTCCTTAATCTAGAAAAAATCCTTAAATGCAACAGTGATGGTTCATTGACCAAGGTATTTAATTGAAATTCATTACGTTCTGGATTTTGAAGAATAGAGTCCTGTACATATGAAGGAGCGAGTTTTATTTGGTATGTTCCCACGGTGAGGTCTTGAAGATAATTTAATTGTAAATGAGGAAAATTAGGAACATCGGCAATATTAACGGGCGCCCACTGAGCACGTCGTAAATGCCAATTTTCCGCCTCGGCTCTTATTTGAAGCTGATTAATTTGTTGTCTTCTTCTTAGAATTTGCTTCAACCATATCAATTGAAGGATGGTATCGATTTAGTAGGGCTCCAGCAATTTTCAAATAATCTCCTAAATGTGATGCATGGACAATAGAAATCCTCTGTGCCAAGAATTTAAAAACTGACTTTAGGTGACCGTTCCTCGACTCCACATTCCACCGAGTCTTGGTTATTAGACGGGAGTCATTTCCTTCCTCAGTTGTTAACTGTCTCTGACCATGAGGTAACAAACTAGGCATTTTGTAGTCAATACCAAGTTCTTGTAAGATTGGAATAGAATCCCGATACCCTTTGTCGACAACAAATATATCGTGTTCTTCAAACCATTCACGCAACAGATTCCCTTCTCTTTGTAGCTCTGTATTTAATATTGCCGCATCATTATTTAATCCATCAGAAAAATATGGATTAATAATGTCCAGGATATATCCATCAGGAGCTACAATTAGGGTAGGTTTGATGAGATGTTTATGTTTGTGAACCGAAAACGAATGGCGTAAAGTTCTAAAGTTGGAGCTCTTTTCAATAGAAAAGTAAGTGCCATCTATGTATGCGATTGCCTTTGGATTAAGTGGTTCTGGATTGTATAATATACTAGAGAATTTGGTCACATGTTGACGGATATAGTTTCCTCTTGTTACCGCGGTAAGTCCAATATTTTGTGGAACAAAGTTCTCCATTAATGATTTCCTGACATTTGTTATTGCCATACTAACCTGTTGTGAGCTTCGGTACTCAAATATAATTCGGAGAAAGTCATCCGATAACCCATGTCTCATTTTGCATAAATAAGCAATTAAGTCTTTTCTTGAAATATTCCCAAAAGAAAAATATAAAGAAAGTGAAAATAGGAATTATTTAAAAGATGCACCTAGTAGTATTTAGGTCTTTGAAATAGATTGTAAATGATTCCATTAAATAAGTACCTCAAAAGTTTTGCTAATCAAATAAGTAGGTATTTATAATTATTTTTACCTGTGCTGACCATTGTCCAGAACCGGATTGCAAAATGTGAAAAGATGCTGATATTGTTCTTTGGTAAGGCCTGATAAGTCTTGGAAATCCTCATCGGATAATGAATTTTCATCATAAATCCATCTGCTAGATCTGGCTGCCAATATGCGTAGTTCTTCTAAGAACACTTGCAAGTCTTCTCCCGGAATCAAATACGCACGGTATATATCTTAAAGTTGCCATCAAAAAAGGTAGCATATATCCATTGTTATCTAAATGTTGTGCACAAGATCTTGCCCCATTTGGAACGTATATATTTTGAGCTATATAGATCTTTGCTCTTGAAGAAACAGACAACCTATGAAGATTCTCTATCGCATCGCAGATTAAGCAACTTTGTCTACGCGTTTGCTTTAAAACGTTAATTCTTACGCAACGGGGATCATGCTGTATTTGCTCAAGTTCATTTATTATGGATCTGTTGCAATTGAGGCAAATCCGTGATTGGATTTCAATGTCCTGCTCTGGAAAGCCTTCACGCTGGCGCCTATCTCGTGCAAGTTCCATTTTTGGTTCATTGTTGGCATCGTACAGAATAGCCATTTGCTGACGATTAAAATTCCCATTATCAACATCAACAAACGATTTCGAAAAGCCATTATTAAATTAAAATAATCAGAAAAAGCAATATTTGAATATTTTCAAGTGTCAATGTTTGTTGATATTTGACGCAAGTGACAGAAACCGTCTTTTGTTTTGATATTCAATTGTAATGCTACACCGTCTAAACACTTTATTGCGTCATTTTTCTTCGGCTATCGATACATAAAAAATGTCAAAGTTTTGTGAAAATCTGGCCGTTTGTTTTCAAGATACAGAACATCGGTCCAAAATGGTGAGCGATAATTTTGCATAATTTTGAATTGTAATAAAATAAACCTCTATATAAATATTTTGGTTCACCGTGTATAAAAAATTAATTTCACATTTGAAAGACCATACTATAAGCAAAATTCTCAAACAATATTTCGATCAGAAAAGTAAGGATTTAATTATTATAGGCTATTGTTTAGATTATAGGAAATTTTTCAAAATTCTCCTTTGTCCAACTTTGAGCACCGATATCTCGGAAACTGAACATAGGATCGAATTGGGCCCACGGAGACATTTGTTCAGAACATCAAGGACTAGCACATACCAACTTTTAAAAAAAATTGGCCGAAAGCCATTTTAGAAAAGTGAGGGGTCCTTTATATCAATAAATTAGAAATTGAGTAAACTCGAAATTCCCGCCATTCTATAGGTTAATGACGCGCGAAATAAAAATAAAATAACCCGATCCGAAGCCGAAGTGACCCGGAGACTGTCGCGCGAAACAAAGAATGCGAGGGGCCATCGTTTCTGGTTTCACCATTTTTTTTTAAACAGTAACTTATTTTAAAAAAAATTAATGGAATAAAAAATAAAAAAAAATATATTTCTGACAGAGGGGTGCAAGTGCACCCCCTTGCATCCTGCTACTTGTGGGCGGCGCCCATGAATTCTACTCTATTTCATGTCCATTCCTAGTTAAAATATTGGAAGTAGGTATTCGTTGTATCCCTCCCAACGGACTAGTGTAGCTCGGTTAGCTTTGGAATAAACGGAGGAATATCAATAACCGTATCCACAGTCAAAGGGTGTCCCCAAGGGGGCATTCTGTCGCCCTTAATGTGGAAGCTAGTGGTGGATAACATCCTAACCAAGCTGAGCAGATCTAGACTCAATGATCCTATGCTACGCGAATGATCCTGATGATAATAACCAAGGGTTAGCACGAAGGCATTATCACCAACCCAACGCAAACTGTCCTAAACATCATTGAACACTGGAGCGAAGATCAGCAACTATTCTGAAGCTTTGCAAAATAATTTTAGTTCCGTTCATGAAAAGGAGAAACCTGTAACTCCGGTGCAGCTACCCTTAAGAGAACGTTAACATTTTCGAATAAGGTGAAATACTCAGGGCTCACATTGGATCACAAACTCTAGAACAGCCATCTAGATAGAACTATCTCTTAAGCGGTAGTGGCTATCTGGACAGGCCGCAAACTTGTTGGCAAGACATAGAAGGTCAAACCTAGAGTGGTATACTGGATTTACGAGACTATAATTAAAGCCAATGGTCACATATATCTCATCGGCGTGATGGCCAAAAACTAAGTTGGTCACCGCTCAGATCAAACTAAAGAAGGTACAAAGGGTAATCTGTCTAGGAATTACAGGGGTAATGTTAAACTGCCCTACCGCAGCCTTAGAGACGCTGAACATGCCTCTACTTCACCTAACTCTGAAAAAAAGGGGCATGCAATCACTTGTGCTAATCGGTTATTCCAGACAAATAAACTTAACAAAAACTGGAAATTAAATTCAATGAAAATAGAAAAATTGGAGTTAGTACGGGATTCGAACCCGTGACCATCACATTGCTAGTTCGAAGCTCTACCAACTGAGCCAACCAACCCACCTGGCAGATTTTCGGCAAATTAACGGCTGCTTCGTTCGCCTTCCATACACTCCAATCATTTCAATCCTCCAATGGTCCACGAATGTGGCATCGGTCCCGCTAGGATAAGTCGCCTTTATCACTGTTCCGCAGGTTTCGTCCACGATGTGTTAAAACTCCAAAGTACTCCATGCGACGTAAGCAAAGTTGAAGAAAGGGAGAACTTTTGTCGGTTAAGATACCGAAACTAATTTTACAAAAAAAAAATTGTGGAAATTGAAGTCACTGGAAATATTGTGTGTATTATTTCGCCGAAAATCTGCCAGGTGAATTGGTTGGCTCAGTTGCTAGAGCTTCGTACTAGCAATGCGATGGTCGCGGGTTCGAATGCCGCACTAACTTAAATTTTCCAATTTTCCATTGACTCAAATCTCCATACATTTTCTTAGTAAAATTAGTTTCGGTATCTTAACCGACAAAAATTCTCCTTGTGTTCAAATAAATTCAAGCCTCAAGATCTGAGAGGTCACCTGCGCAAAGACGGTCTCACCTAGAGATTCCAATCGCTGTGGTAATTAACATTTGCCAATAATGGGAGAATAAAGAGCTACAACATTCATCGAATACCTCGCTGAGATACACAGATGACTCCAATCTAGCGAACGGAGCTGGATTGGCTGGACTGGCATTTCAAAATTTTCAAGGTATTCCAGCCACTGGGCAAATATCTAACCATATTCCAAACTGAATTGCTTGCAATAAATATTTGTGTGCACAAGAATGTCCAAACCAAAGCATCAAAATACACATTTTGATACTTTGATCAGACAGCCAAGCGTCTTTAAGGGCTGTGAAGACCTGCAAATGCGTATCAAAGCTAGTCTGGGAATGCCACCAGACCCTAAAACTACTAACGATGCGCAACCTGGTAACCTAGATGTGCGTGCAGGTCACGAGGACGCATAGCCAGCCTCGCAAATAAGGTGCTGAAACACCATCTTGCGGCCTAATGAAGAGCCACGTAACAAACGAACTATATAAATGGGAGAAGGACCGATTGTCCACATGCTGGAGACAAATTCCAAGACTGGGACAGGCAAAAAGGCTCATCACTAAATAGATAAGAACAAGTCATATCTACACATGAACAGAAATAATATCAGATTGGTGGTTGAAGTGCTCACCAAACAGTGCAGACACTGCCCAGTGAAATATCACCTGAAGGCAATAGAAAAGGTAGAAGACGTCAACTGCAGATTTTGATAATCCGCAGCTGAAATCACAGAACATTACCTCTGCGACTACCCGGCTTAAGGCTCAAGTACCTCCAGGGGGTACTGCCCAACAGCCCCAAGAGTTTGCCAACTATCCCCCCAAAAAAATAGCTTCCTTCGCAAAAATACCTTAATTTCTTGGACACAAACTAAGAAAATAGCTACCTATGCGCCTTGAAAAATAGCTGAAAATACTTTGATATTAAAATATATTTAAGTTCCTTCCTTTTTTTATGTATTTTGTAAAATTTTAGTAGCCCCAGTTTATTTGAAATTTATTAAAAAGTTCCTTAAATAATTTTTTTATTTTTTTTATAGCCCCTTTTTCGACGCCACTGCACTAAATTCTTGAGTGTCAACATATACCACGTTCTTCTATTTGATTTTCTAAGGAGAACAAAAAAACCGCATGCTTTAAAAGTGCCATGGCAGGAGAAAAATGACCATAGGCTATCTTCTCGGGTGCATCTCCAATGGTAAATAGCACAGTTTTGCAACAAATTTTCTTTACACATCTCCAACGCATTTCATTGTTTTTAGTCGTATTTCCGAAACAATATTTATTTTTATTTATATATTTATATCTATTTCTTTTAAATCTTCTGACATTTTTCCAATATTCGCAAAGAACGCAACGAGATCAAATCAGAAACTAATTCAAATTTGGAAATTTTAGCTATTTATAAGAAGTAAATAAGTTAAATAATATCTATCTCAGTACCTGTACCGATTTGCATATTGATGCATAAATAATACCTATCTCAGTACCTGATAGCCGATTTGGCCGAGTTCAAGTACCGTAAAATTGTCACCCTTTTCCTTATTTCGGAACAGGTAAATTATCTGGCCGAATTCAAGGATCCCAGAAGATTTATATCAAATTAGGATTTCACAGTTGAATGCCGTTTTAAAAGCAAGTGAAGTCTACAGGAAGTCGTGAGTGGTCATAGTATTTCGGCCAATATGAAAAATGAAGAATGTATGCAAGAAAAAGGATGCTAAAGGTCAAAAGTTAATATTTGCATATAATAAACTGTCAAACTTCACAAAGTATGTATGAAAAGCTAAAATATTTTTTTGAAAAATCAACTAAATGCCAAGTTTGTATGTTATTACAACAATTTTTAACTTCATGTTTGATAAAAACAGCCACTTCACTTTACACAAACTAAAAACTTTAAATCAAACCATAGACGATAATAAGATTATAAGTAAAATCCTGTCGACCTCACCATCACAATAAGTATAAATATTTTATCACCGTGTGGGAATCTGCATCTGTAGGAGAAAGAACCTTGATACATTTTGTTATATGTGTAAAAGTAAAAACCCTGAGAACAAATTTTGTGGGAGCAATAAATCCAAACATGACATAAAATGCTTCGATTGAGAAAAAGCTGGAAATTTTGCTATACATTGTTTTTTTAAAGCAAACCAAACATGGTGTGAAATATGCAAGACAACAAATCATTCAGAAAAATATTGTTCGCTGAGAAATAAAAATAAACATGGACAAGATAACAGACAAGTAGGAAATTTAAAAGAAGTAAGAAAAGTAGCTTTTTTGACAGAAAAGTAAAATAAAAACATTAAAACTGTTATGGAATTTATAGTAGACTCTGGAAGCTCATCACACATGGTAAAATAAAAGTCTTTATTTTCCACTATGGAAGAAATAAGTTCATATGTGGTTGCTAGAAAAGATGAAAACATGAAAGCACTAGGAAAAGGAAGTGTTGAAAGTCCATCATGCACAGGGCCGTAACTAGCTGATATTTTACTATAGAAAAGGCTTATTTTTTGCTCCAGCCCCCCCTCCCCCCGGCGAAAAAAAACTTGAGGTGT